TGTGGAGTTGACCTTAGATTTTTCTTTTCGTTTGGTTGCATAGCCCGTATGTTACTTGGTGAAGTGAAATAATTTCAATCAACGGTATTTTCAATAATTTGAAATAATTTCAATCAACGCTTATTTGCATTTTAAAAAATTAAAATCGATAATTAATTGAAATTGAAATTAAACACTATTATAAAACTGCTAAAAAATATTAATTTTAATATACAAATTATTACATGTAGAATTTTAGGTATCAAGAAACAAAAAGCTTTATATTTTTGCACTTTTTTAACGAAACGTGCCTTTCCACCCTTAATTTGGATTTGTATCTTACAGGCTACGTCATTTTCAAATATTCAATTTATTTATCTATTCAATTGTTAATTGTATTGCCTATATGTCTACTAAACTGAGAAAGCTAATAGTACTGCCATCTATAGTGATCATTCAAAGTTAGTCACAATTGTTTATAAGATTTTTGTTTAGTGAACGCCGATTAGTAAAAGGTTGATAAGTTTTATTCAGTATTAGTGTAAAAAGAAGTATTTCGTTTTAATGCAGAAGGTGAAGTTGTAGTAGGATGATGTGTTGTGATCATACATATATTAATATTTATATATAAATATCCAAAAGTGACAATACCGAACCATTTTTAAAGCTGTATCCTATAATCTACTTTGCCAAAGATATAGCTTAATGAAACTTTTTTGTTATGTATATTATAGTTTATTTTGTCATATATTTAGTATTGTGAAATAATTTTGTTTTGTACCTATAAAACACTTCATTTCCAATTACATTAGTGGAATTTGTTTTAATGAAACGTTTCAAAATAAATTGATTTAGTTATATAAGTGTTTCCTTTGTTTCCGCGAATTACCAATATGATATCATCAAGTTATGAATAAATTTTGGCATTACTTCCACCACCTTCATCTGATATGGATGATTCGAGCAATGAAGAAAATGAAAGTTATCCTAAACCATCTAGAACTCAAAATTCTGAAACCGATGAAAGTTCTGAAGTTCAAGAGATTTTTGATACATTATCAGATTCAGTATCCGAAACTGAACATTCAAAACTAGAACTATCAACACATCAATCTGCTTATAGTACGCCTAAATCTATTTACATTATATATAAGTCCTCTAAAAACACGATCACAACATTAGATACCTGGAGCATCTAAAGAGATTAACGATAATACTAATCAACCTAAAGGCAAACTACAAAGTAAACGCACGAAACGACATAATTTGGTTGAGTACCACTGGACCAAAGAAGAATTTCAATATCCTGTGAATATTCTCGAAAATAACTTTTCTGTGTTGCATGAATTAGGTAAAAGTCACCATTGGAAAATTTTTTAAAATGTTTTTTTCAGACGATCTATTAGAGTTTATTGTCAATAATTCTTCTTCTCGTGCCACTCCTAGCGGAGATTGGAAATCATCATGGCCACTGCGACTTTGTTAGCAGCGCGCCTAAAAAGTTCAATTGAACTAGGTACACCCGAACCATTCACGTAGATTACGAAGTCACGATATTTTTCTTCTTCCTACACTTCTTTTGACCTTAATTTTCCCCTGCATGATGTTTCTTAAAAGTTCGTACTTTTCACCTCTCACAATGTGCCCCAAGTATTCCATCTTTCTAGTTTTTATCTCATTTAGAATTTCGCATCTTTTGTCTAAAGTTTGGAGTACTTGCGTGTTAGTGACGCGGTCCATCCATGATATTCTGAGAATGCGCCTATAGCACCACATCTCGAAAGTTTCGTTGTTTTTTATGGTCAACTGTTTTAGTGTCCAAGCCTCAACTCCATATAACAGGGTAGAAAAGACATAACACCGCAGCATTCGTATTCGTAAAATTGTCAATAATACAAACCTTTAGTTCGTTCAGTAAAACAGACAAGTCTGTAAGCGTTAATAAAGATTAGATAATGAGATAAATTGGTAGTAGAGGGAAGGGCAATTTTGTAGAACTTAAAAAAATGAAAAAAATTGAATTGTGAGCATGGGGGGCATTTTGTATATCGTCACGATGGGTACCGTTTTATATACCTACTAAGAAATAAGACCAAATATTTAAATATGTACCAACTTATAAAATTCATTATTTCCACATTCATTATGAACAATATTTTGTTTTAAAATTGAAGTGCTACGTGTTTATAGACTTCGCTAAAATTATCTTAATGGTCGTAATAAGAAGTAATTTACTGTCGATTATATTTTTCCAAGGAATTTTTTCCTAGATTGAATGTATGAGAGACCTCTAGTGACCGCTAGACACAACTAAAATTTATTCGTACGGATTTTATAGTTGCCTACACAGCTATGTTTGCAAAATAGACGTCCAATATTGTAAAAGGTGTTGCCTATCTCAAAGGAAGATATATTTCACAAAGGTATTTATCTTCACTGTGTATATTATAATATAATAAATACTGAATGATGATAAATGGACAGAAATAAACATACAAAAACAACAATAGAATAAATAAAATTCTTATATTTATGAAAAACCGGAGTAAAACACATTGAATATGAAAACAAAGTAGAAAAAATTGAGTCAGCTAAAGAATCCCTTGAGAATAATGAATATTTTTAAAAAGTGGAATACAAATTAATTGAAAGCAAAAATCCAGACCAAATACCAATGAAAACTTTAGAATGCTTAAATAAAGCATCCAAGGATATAAGATTAAAATTAACCGACGTCGAACTCCCTATGGTGTTATAGGACTCTATTTTTCGGCAAAAAAATAAGGGCAAAAGAATTTGAAAATTACATTTTTGTGGAGAAGGGAGGGGGCACTTTAAAACGTTTTTTCTTTTTGAGTGTATTATGACTTACTTTGTCTAAAATGATTTATTTTAGGTATCGCAAACAACATTAGCACTAGCACATCTAATAATGTATTGTCTATCAAACTTACCAAGAAATTATCTGAACATAAAAAAATAACTTTATATATCATAAGAAAAATGTTCAAAAGTGCTCCTAATAGGGGTAGCTTTAAACTAAGAAGGGGCGCATTTAAATTACCTATAAATTTCTTGAAATCAAACCAAAAAAATACAGTTTTTTATTGAAAGGACACAATAAAATATACAACCGTGAAAAACACAATAAGTACTTAATTGCCTAAGGTATAGACATTCAAATAAGAAATTATTAATTTTTAATTTATATTTTAACTATTCACCATTACAAGTGCTATAATTTGAATTGTTTGTAGGATATAATTTTAAAACTATATCTTCAATGGGGACTATCGAAATATCCACTATTTTTGGAAAGTAAAAAGTTGAATTTATCCCTTTACCCTTAATTCTTTTCAAAAATTTAACTTCAAACTCTGAATCCACAGCAAATATTTCAGTGATCTGTCCCACGTAATAATTACACAGCTTTTTTGTAACAAATTTCACTAAAATATAGTCATACTGTTCATATTAGGCAATTTCTGTGAAGTCCTGTGATTCATCTGAACTGGCATAAAAGATGTTTCATTGGATTCCAAAGTTTCACTCTGTGGTAACTCCGCATTCTTCTTAGTAGTAGGAGTAGTCTTCTAAATGTTTCTTTTCATCTTATTTGCTTGCCACCCTTTTGTTTTTGTTCTCTTGCTAGAGTCTCTTCTTCAATTTTGTTTTCTGGTGTTTCTGTTAAAACTCTAAATATAACATATAGGGAAAGGTCGTACAATTTCAGGTATTGTTGAGGTTGATGTAGACGGAACAATTTTAATTTGTGTCAAGATGCTACTGTGGTTTAGATTATTTCCTGGTGGTGGCCGGTCAGTAACAAAAGCACGGTTAAAATCGTCATCCGAAAATACAAGACGGTTTAGGGGCCAAATGCCCGTTTTTCTAAAACCTTCAACTATATTCTTCATGATAATTGAAGAAGTATAACAGTGCTTGAATGGCTGCTATGTCAACAACACCATGCAGTACCTACCCTCCTCCTTTCGGGTTTAAGACCACCGATGTTGGGCATCAACCGGCTCAGCGCAGCCACTCTCTGAGCGGCCTTCTGTACGATCACACGGACATGCTCTCCCTACCGTCAGTTTGTGTAGATGTTCACCCCCAAGTACCTCACAGAGGCTTTGATGGCGGCATCCTCCCCGGCGCAACGAAAGATTACATAAAGTCCTGTCCCTAAGGCCTCTGAGGGTGATTGCCTCGATCTTCCCCGTCGCAAGCTCCAGGTCATGGTCACCCATCCAGTCGCTCACAACGTTTGAGGCCATGTATCCCCTATGCCGGAGCTCGTCCTTGTCCCGAGCCGTGACCAGCACAGCGAGGTCATCTGCGAATACGAAAGGAATACCCGCTTTGACAGGTAGTCCGCCACGATGTTTCTCAGATATTTTGGGACAGTTCCGTCCACTCAAGGAGCTCATTCCGAGGGACCACTTTATGCTGTTGAAGGCGTTTCTGACGTCGAAGAGAAGCAAAGCAGACCACTTGCTGTTGATTCCCTCCAAGGCCCGAAACACCGTCAACATACACTCAGTCGTACTCTTGCCCGCAACAAAGCCATACTGGTCTGGAGACAGCCCTCCAGACCTCTCGATCGCCTCTTCGATTCTTGCTCTCAACAGTATCTCATGCAACTTATCGAGGCTCACAGAAAAAAGGCAAATTGGCCGGTGTTTCCCCAAGGTTTTGGGGATCAACACCAAGACGCTAAGATAATCTGACTGACAAGTAGTGCGTTCATGTGGCCCAAATTCCTGTCTGGCTCCAAACGTTCCAGGTGCTTAACCGCTTCAAGCGGTATCGCCTTAAGGGCCCCACTGGCAACAGCGAGTTCCTCTAGGGAAAAGGAAACAATCCTTTCTGCATGCTCGGCCTCCCACTGCACCCATGCCAACCCCTGAACGGAAACAGCTCTGTTACCAGAGTAATCTTGTCTACGAGTGGCATGGTGTAACTAAACACTCAACCTAACCTAACCACAGGAAAACTTATTTAATTAAAAATACTGCGTAAAAAAATTAACAATTTTTATCTTTATTAATGTTTTTTCACAATTATAAAAGTTTTCTTCTAATAATACAAACTTCTTACACAAATTCATTCACATTTTACAGTATCTTCCGGTCTTCTTGCAAATGCAATCCTGTTATCTATTTTGTTTATGGTTTCTATTGCATGCATTTGTCTAGCGTGATCAAAAATAACTGAATTTGCTTTCTAGGTTGTAGATCTATATATCAGCTTCTGTCCTTATATTTTTTCCAAACTATTTAGTTGTTATGTAGGTACGTTTTTCAATCTCTTGCGAGAATAATGCCACATATAAACTTGTTGTAAAAGTTAAAATACAAATAACAAATAACAAGGATATAAAATTTATTTGGTACGTGTCTGGGCTATGTATAAAATTTCGTGTGTCCTTGTTTATATTCCATCATCGAAGAAAGAATTCACTGCGTAGTAAAATAATTCATATTTTGCGTTTTAAAAATTCTGCGACTTTAAACCCATGCCATGTTAAGGTTGAATCTTCCTTACAGACCGTTGTTGAGAAGAATTGTGATTGGCCCATTGCGAAGACTGGTAGAGGGGTGAGAGGTAACGGAGCAAGCCGGTACGGAGCGTGAAGCAATGTCAAGTGTCAAGTTTTAGGTGGGAAAAAAAATTGTAGAGAGAAGACGCGGCGTGGGTAACCTGAAGTAACCGGTAAATTTGTTTATAAAAAAAGTGAATTATACTCGAACGTAATGTGTCAATTTTTGTCAGAGTAATCACTGTTTTGTTTCGTGCCATCTCTCACCTAAGGGATCTGTAAAACGGCGTTCCAGACAACTTTAAAAGATAGCCTCATGGTTCCGAGCAAGAATTTGAGTTTTTAAAAAGCCAAGTTTCGAAGATTGCGTCAATATAATTCAGTGCCCAGCTTCCATCCTCATTTTGTTTGTCCAAGGTCATTCCACACTATTTTCGCAATTTGTGAGATGCATTTGTTTGTGTTGAATTTTGAGTTTAGTTCTAGCCTCAGAACTTTTTAAAGGAGAAATAACATTTAGTGAAATTCAGGTAATTTTTTGGTTGAACTTTTTAAGTAAAAATAGATATTTTCCATCAATAATTGCTTTCATGGCAAGTTAAGAAATTGTAATTAGTAAAATTATAAATATTAGGGAATGGCTAGCTGTTTTAAAATTTAATATTGACATATGACAGCTAGCTTTATTTTTTTGACGTTTGGTACATACCTAACCATAAGTGTAGAATTTGTTTTGTTTTGTTTTTAAAAAGGTTAATTTCTATGCATAGTTTAAAAAGATATTTTTCATTTTTAATAATTTATCAGGGCTACAAAATGTAGCCCAGTAACAATTTTATTGTAAGTTTTTCTAGTATCTCCAACTTATAGAGTTATAAACCGATAGCAACATTGTAAGTTTGTTTTTGTTATTTTCTATTTATTATTACTATTTATATTTGTAACTGTTTGTGGTGAGATAACAATAAATATGTAATTTTTTTTTCTAAACCAAGTTATTATTTCCTTTTAAAAAGGTTCGAACTCCTTTTTTTATATTTTTTTAGGAAATAAAAACCTTTCTTTCGTCCAGCAGGAAGATTTTTGTAAGCGGCGTCCATTTTTTAAATAGCTTGAGAACCTTCTTGTGTTGTGTTTGCCGAGGAGATCCATGTTAGTACCCCCTGTGATTATATTAGGGGTATAATAATTGATTATACTCCTATAATGATCCCAATGTGGTAGGCAAAATAATCGTTACAATATCTCCATTAGCATTGATAACAGCTTGTAGTCTTCGGTTCATCTGCGTAAAAGGAACTATGAGTTTATCTTCTTCAGGAAGCTCTTCCCAAAGCTGTGGTATATCGTGCCACAGCTCTTCAGCATTTTAAGGTATAAAATTAAGCCGATACAACCGATTTACCCACACATTCTCGATTGGGTTTAAATCTGGACTGTAGCTGGGCCATGGTAAGGTTTCGATGTTGTTATTCTGGAGCCACTGGGTTATTATATTTGCAATGTGAATAGTACAATTATCTTGTTGGTGAATAGAATTATTTTCTGCATACAACTGTTCTACACTGGGAAACATGATGTTTTCTAGAATATTCAGGTAAGTCTGCCCAACAAACCTGCCATTAATACGCCATACCATTTCCATTCCCTTAGATGAAATCCATCTCCATACATTGGCACTAAACTGACCAGCGGCTCTTTGCTAGCATGTGAAGCCATTTTTTGAGGTTGAACAGAAAAATTTATCTGACACATTTTAAGATTTGGCAGTGACAGTATTTAATTCAAAATACACTGCTCAATTTTCTACTATTTTACAGTTTTTTAGGAACCAGCTGTACATTACACACATGAAGAGAAGAATATATATCTCCAATGTGCCCTGACAGATTCGAGCTATTGCGGCAGATATTCTTGGCACTAATTTTTTAAGTGTTCTTGAGCCTCCTCCAGCCAATGAAAATAGAAAAAGAAAGAGATGTCATCTCTGTAAAGCCAAGAAACACAGAAATACGAACTATATTTGCGCAGTGTATAAAATGCCTGTATGTTTACAATGTTGTGTTTAAGTGTGCAAAAAATGCAAAGAATAACTTCCATTTGTGGTTAAGCCATTTATGGTACTTCATTTTGTAATCTTAGTTTATAAATAAAAAAATTATCAAAAAACATTTGTTTGTTTTCTTTATATAAAAGAATGAGTCTTATAGACCCATTTCTAATACTTATGTAATTACTTTTGACTTATAGCATTTAAGGGATAAACCCCACTTGTATGATTTCAGTACAATCTGTTTCATTACATAACTACCTAGACGGATGCCAGTTTTTTTATTGATTGTTTCCTTAAGGATATATGAGACATAAAGATTTTTCAATTTATGTAGCATTATCCACGTAACAGACTGAAAATTTACCACATTGGTCTTCTTTCATTTATTCTGAAGCGACACCTAAAAATACAACCATTTAACAGAGAATTTTCCAAATTGTTCGCAAAAAAGTACGCTCACTACGTCAACATGGTCATCTAACTCTCTAAAATCCTTGTGTTTCTCTTTTGAAGACCACCGTCTTGCTAACTTTCTAAAACTCGTTGTCTTGTTACTAAAAGAAGGTCTTAAGCAAATCATTTCGACAACAGTACCTTGTCTCTTTAGAGTACCGGGCAGCTCTCGACTACCGATCGATGTCACGTCATTCATGGATAGAGTTTGGGTTGATCCTGGGTATTCTGGGATAGGTTTGTCTGGTTTACATATTTCGCCTACTGTTGTTATTTCTGTTTTGGATTCTTCTGTCCATACCTATGAACAAAATAATACGATATAAGATATTTTTATTTCATAGATATAATATACTAAGGATGGATCATACTGATATTTTTACATGAAAAGCGTAGGGCAGCGAAAAAGGTATTGATTAGGTCTCGTCGAGACCTGATCAAGACCTATTCGAGACCTGTTCTGTATGACGTCAGAGGTCAAAGGTCAAAGTGGACCAAAGTGGCTACCTATCTACTCATTAGAATAGACACCTAGAAAATGATGAATTAAAGACTTACCTTATTTTTATCTTTCTTTCCGAAGGAGATAAAACATATTTTCTCAACTTCTTCCTTAAATTTGGGATGAGACAATGCATATATGTAGGCATTAATGCAGCTGGCTGTTTTGCAAAACATCGCTGGTAGCATAGAAGTTGTAGGACCTATCCAGTTTTTGTGCCCTGTGACTCCCAGCAACGCTACTACAGCATAGGGAGTCCAAGAAAGAAACCACACTCCAATAGTAGAGAGTACTATCAACGCCAGCTTAACTTCTTGTTTCTTCTTGTCTTCTTCTTTGACGTGCCTAAAAGAGTCTCTGCTTCTTTTTTGAGACATGGCTCTGGTGTATACCACTTTCCAAATGTTAATATAGCTGAAAGATATTAAGGTGAACGGGACAACCCAAGCTGCAAAGAAAAATATTATAATAAAGTTTTTGATTTTGGGATCGTCTGCCAGATAATCGAAACTGCAGCTGGTTAGATATCCCTCGTATGTATATTTTCCAAATCCAATATCCAGGGCAGGAACGAAAGCGAATAGAGCTCCATATAACCAGGTAACCAGCAGGCAGATTTTTACCCTCATATCTGAGAAACTTCTGTTAAGAGGATATTTTATGACGAAATATCGGTCGAATGATATTACGCTTAGAGTTATAATGGATATTGTTCCTGTAAGACCTCCAAAAAAACCGTAGATGCGACAGGCTAGAAACATAAAAATCAGGTTAAGTTTTAAATCACAACAAACAATTGATTTTTTTTTGAACAATTGATATCGTCAAAACAATCAGGTTATGGTCGGTGTATACATTAGCTCGTTTGATCACCCTACTCTAGATGCATAATAAACATTTCTCTATAATATTTTATTATCTTTCACAACCATTCCACATTAAAACATATATTAAGAATTTTGTGCCAACTACGAAGTTTACTATCATAATACTTGAAATAAAAGGTCACTTAGACAAATTTTTATACTAAATAAATACAGACCTATATCTCCAAGTGCTGGTCCTCTATAAAAAGAATTGACGATAAATATGGGCGCTTTAAGAGTCATCAGTCCATCGCTAATTGCCAAGTTGACAATAAGAGTGTTCGCTGAAGTTCTCAGAGCCTTGCATCTTAAATATTAATTATTTTAGCCAAAATTTGATGGCTATTAAAGCTGATTAATTACTGAATAAAATGCACTACTCTTTCGAAATATTCAGTGCATTTAATACTTACCTTATAAATAAGAAGATCACCAGAAAGTTGCCAGATACGCCAACAAACATAAGAAAAATATAATACACTCCTGAAGCATAAAAACACAAATTACTAGGAGGGTCATATTCGAGCCAATGGAAATTGATATCTAGAATGTAATCCTCGGTAAACACTCCTAGGTTTTTCCAATCTTCAAAGGCCCAGACTTCTTTGAATCTATCAATGAGCGCAGTAACATTTTCCTTAGAATCTTGACTAAAAGAAAAAAAAAAGAAAATTATGTGTTAGTAGTAAAGATCATAAGATAAGTGTTTCTAGGTACAACTCCTAGATGGCACTGTTAAAAATTAAATTACGGGGGTGGTATGATATATAAACATTAATTTAAAAAAACATTAATTAAAAATTAAATTACGGGGTTGGTATGATATATAAACATTAATTTAAAATCCATAGTGGTTGCGTTATTACGATCCAAAGACATTGGTTAATTTTGTGAAAATTTTTATAGAATTTCCAAACAAAATAATTAGTCAGATAAATAAAAACATCTACTGGAGCATTGTGAAGCATGTGAAGAAGTAAATACAAAAGAAGTTAATATAAAAGTTTGATGGTAAACAAGAGGAAATAGAGCTTGGAAAGATATTAGAGGACTGTGAACGCAGAATTAAAATGCTCTAGAGTGGAAAGAATATTATCGTATTAACGAAACATAGAATCTAATTTTAGCAAGACTATGAAAGGATTGTTCAATAAGAATCAATAATAACTGTAGAAAATGGAATAGAGCCATTATATCTTCCATTTATAAGAAGGGAAGCAGAAAAGACTACGACAATAACAGAGGAATTAATGTTCTGTATCAAGGTTTTATAAACAAGTACTAAAATACCGAATTGAAGAACAAGTTAAACAAACAGCAGTTCAAAACGGTTTTAGAGCTGGTCGCTCTTGTATAGATTTAGTATTCACTATTAAACAGCTTATACAGAAACTCATATAAAGAGGGTTAACTGTCTAATTAGACTTTGTCGACCTTGAGAAAGCCGACCATATCGTACCATTAAATAAGTTGTGGTTGTGCAGAAAAAGGTCAGTAAAAGTCACATTAAAGCTGTAGAAATTTCTCTAGAAGTATGTAGAAAATGTGGAAGAAAAATGAGAAATGAGGATTAAAAATAATTGTACATAAGAGCACATATATGTTACAGAAAAAATTTAATCCTAAACATTGCTCAATGTTTAAAACTTTTTAACGAATCAGCAGGAAATTAAATAAAAATTGAACAAGGCAGACATGCTATTCGTCAATTAAATTTAACCCTCTGGTGCCATAAATTAACAAATCAAACAAAAAGTCTCTTTACAAAAACCATTATTGAAAACATATATACATATGTGTCAGAAAAATGGGAAGTTCGAAAAAAAGATATAAACTATCTCTAGAAATATAATTCTGAAGACGAAGCTCCAAGACAGTATTAGGATCTAGTCCAAATATGCTATAGAATAGAATAGAATAGAAATATGCTTTATTGTCACTGAAAATTATTGAACAATTTTATGGACAAAGCTAAAAAAATTCAGTCAAATAGTACAAAAAGTATAAAACAAAACAAATATAATAAAAAAAACAGAATAATACAATTTTAAATTAGTAAAATTATTGTATAACTTACATAGTTTGTACAGACAACAACAAATGAAACAAATTGTAGCCACTGCTTGAGATACCCAAATGTAATTAAAAACAATACTAATTTTGTTTCTTTGTTATACACTAAGAAACTCGTCAACTGAATAATATGGTCTTCCAGACAAATAGATTTTTGTCATGTTACGAAACTTAATGAAAGATGTTGCGGATTTAATTTCTCTTGGAAGGTGATTATATAGTTTTTTGCACTATATAGAATGGATTTCTTTACTAGCTGAGTGGACGGGATCGGTAACTAAACGTCCGATCAGTACATAAAATCCGAATTTCTAATGGAGTAGCCATGATCAGGTCTATAAAGAAAAATGTTTAGATGCTTGCGAATCAAACAAACCGTTTCCAAAATAAATAAAGAGGGAAGCGTCAAAATTCCGTGATTTTTGAAGTAGGTCTTGCAATGAGTTGATGGTTTGAGACCAAATAGACAACAAATTGCTCTTTTTTGCAACTAAAAAATAGTCTCAAATTGAGCCCCTGTAGTAGAACCCCAAAATGGAAGCCCATATCGAAGATGGGGCTCGAACAATGAGAAATATACTATTTTGACAGAAGATAAATTTAGTTTCTTCGAAACAGATCATATTGCAAAGTAAGCTGAGGCTAGTTTCTTCCTTAAGGAGTCAGTATGCAACGACTATTTAAGATCACTGTCGGTAAAAATACCTTGAAATTTTACGGAATTAACGATACTGATTTGGCTCTCATTCAAAAGCAAGGGTTGAATGACTTCTTTATAAGATAATGCTACTGTATTATCCACGTTAAAGCTAAGTAAGCTGGAGTCTGACCAAGCCTTTATTATAAGCAAATCAGCGGTTATAATTGAATGAAGCGTTGAAATATTAGAGTTCCTCCAAGTAATACTGGTATCATCAGCAAATAGAAAAATTTCCCCTTTAATTTTCAAGCAAGTGATGTCATTAAAAGTACAAAAAGAATGGGACCTAATACTGAATCTTGCGATACTCCACACTCAATCTCTTTACAACTAGAGTCAGTGTCTTTTATTCTAACCAATTGTTTCCTACCTACCAAGTAAGTTTTGAACAAATTCAAAGACACACCCCGAATTCCAAAGAAAGTTAATTTTTTTAATAGAATGTCGTGATTTACGCAGTCAAAGGCTTTGGAATAGTCGCAGAAAACGGTGGCGGAAGAGAGGTTACTATTTAGTAATAGATATACCTCATGTAACACAGAAAACATGGCATCACTAGTACATTTATTAGACAGAAAGCCGAACTGATTTTGCGATAAAATATTATGTTTAAGGAGAAAGAGCATAAGTCGAACTTTTATAAACCTTTCAAAAATTTTTGATAGTGCTGGTAACAAGGCAATAGGTCTATAGTTGCAGGCATCAGATTTTTCTCCACCTTTATGAAGAGGAACAACGATGGCAGTCTTTAGGCAGTTAGGGAATGTACTCAATTCACTATACTCAACTTACTATCAAAGGGAATTTTATTAAGCCTATTAAGATTACTTAATAAAGCCTATAAGTTCAAACAAAAAGTATGGTAGAAAAAGTTTAAGTATATAGTTTAAGTAACACAGGCTTTGAACCCACACCGAAATTATGCATTTAACATGAAAAAAGCACTAACGAAGACTATAAAAAATCGTCTGTAAAGTCAATGTGGAATACTACAGCAAAAATGGTACAAGAAAAATATTTTACGGAGTACAGCATCAAAATCAACCGTTTCACAGATATATCTTTCAAATTTGCATTAAACGGAGGCAACTTCAAAGTGTTCAGGAAAAAAGAAAACTCACTTCAAGAGAAATCCATCGAAGAACTACTAAAAATCATCCTAAGCTACGACGAGGAAACCCCACATGGAGAACAAAAAAAGTTTTTTCACCTTTGCTCATTTGAACTTGCTTAAAGAGCCAATGAGGCCGTAAACTGAGAGATTTACTTTTTCCAGAAGGAATTTGACGTTATGGGAGAATTTACGGGCCGAATTGAATACAGCAGCATTTTTTTCCAAAACAAATCAACGCGATTTTTGCAATTAATGGAAAAAAGTGGACCAAAGATTTTATCAGACAGACTGTTTTCTTACCGTTCACCCCAACTGGAAGGATGGGTATTGATTCAAAACCTATTCACTTGAAATCGATACCGTATCTAAGTGGATAAAAATGTCAGCTGAAAAAATTGGAATATACACAAAAAAACATAAAATAACAAACCATTCTCGTCGATCTTTAACTGTGTCAGCCTTGTTCATTCAAGGTGTTCCTGAACAGTAGTTAATTAAATTAACAGGGAACACAAATGCAAACTCTCTAAAATCATATCTGCAGCTGGATTCCAGTCACCTGCAGAAGTTGATCGAAAATCTCAGAACAACAAATGAAGCTGGACCTTCGAGTTCCCAAATGCTACAGGTCAATAATACACAAAATTATGCTTTTTTAGAAAAGAATGGGCAAACTACTATAACTTATAATAATTGTACATTTAATATTATTAACAAATAAATAAAGATTATGTTTCGTTGATATGGTGCATTAATTTTCTCGTGATATAGTCTTGTCGAATATTATTCAAGAGAAAATTATTTACCGGCAAAATTTTCTTCTATTTTAATTCAATTTTGTTGCCTTTCGGCAATTTTCGCAAGAACTTTTGACAAAATCCCTCGACTGACGTCTCGTCAGTCAGTCTATTTAAGGTTAAAAATCAAACACACTATATATACACATAAATAACAAACGAACAATAGTTTTGATTCACTTACCTTAAAGAAACGTTGAAATCATCTTCGCCGATTATGGGAGAAACGTTTGGGGAGATCAAGAAAATGTACCAAAGACAGAACATTTTGTGAATGAGCTCAGTAAACCGTGATGACTACATTTTACCTAAATTGATACTAAAATATAAAAGTTTTCTATTATGTAGATAACGTCTTATGTAAAACTCACCTGGGACTTATTTTCAATCAACGCGGGGTCGGAAACAGCAGCGGTAAGGAAGAGGGAGTTGGTATATCATTGTTTATTTTTGAAAATAAAAAAAATAAATTGTATTGTGGTAGTAATCAATGGCAATGTATAAATAACCTGCGATATGCTGATGACACTGTCATACTGGCAGATAATGCTGAAGCCCTGCAGCGCTTAATGGACCGAGTAACGACAGCCTGTAGAGAATTTGGAATGAAATTGAATACAAAGAAGACAAAAACGATGGTTCATCAGCAAACACCAAAACAGAAGGGTGAGGGTGAATGTCGACGGAACAGATCTGGAAAGAGTAACAAGAACAACGTACCTTGGAAGTAATCTTGATGAAACTTGGCACCACTCACTAGAGATAAGAATACGCCTGGAAAAGGCACGTACAATGTTTTACAAAATGCAAGTACAACAAAATACAAATGCAAGTTCTATGCAACCGCCAGCTGGGCATCTCATTGAGAACTAGAATACTTAAGTGCTATGTTTTCTCCACCTTGCTCTATGGTGTTGAAGCCTGGACAATGACAGAAGCAACACAAAAAAGAATCCAAGCATTCGAACTCTGGTGTTACCGTAAAATGCTCAGAATATCCTACATGAGGCATACGACAAATGCGGAAGTCTTGCGGAGGATGAATAAGGAAAGAGAGCTTATGCTTATAATAAAAGAACGGAAAACACAATATGTTGGTCACATCATAAGAAATCAAAAGTATGAACTGTTCCAACTTATAATCGAAGGCAAAGTCAATAGCAAAAGAGGACCAGAAGAAGACGCAACTCTTGGCTTAAAAATCTACGGCAATGGACGAACATGACCTCCATAGAACTATTCAGGGCTGCTACAAATAAGATTAAATGGGCAAATGTAATGGCCAACGTCCTTAAGGATAAGACACTGTAAGAAGAAGTAATCAATTGATGAAGTCATTATTCGAAGCGTGTATATTGTTCCAGGCACATATTATTTTTAATGCAACTGAGTAAAATTCAAAATTGATATACGATTTTGCAAACTCGCTATTTAAACGAATCAGCCTGTGAATAAGTTCACAATTATTGCCACAAAAATCATAGCACACATAGACATTTATGCCCCCTCACTCTGAATCGAAAGAATCCAGAGGATGTCACTGAATGATGATTGCCTCAGTTCTCAAATCAAAGGTAATTTTTTCTTGTCATAAATACCTCTTCAGTGAGGTTTCTTTTTTCCATTGCTGTTATTTATCCATTTCAACGTAGTTTAAGAAGTCCTCTTTCTCTTTTCTCATTTGGTTTCCCTTTCCAAGTCTCAGCAGTATTCTTGTCGCGTTGATCCTTCGCATATGTCATACCAGCGTAATTTTCGTTTTTTTATTTTGTCATTTAGTATCTTCGTGATGGGTCAGGTTAGCATCCTACCCATGGTAAAAGAAAACAAGGCTCAAAGAACCGATATAAAGTCTCGGAACCAGGCGGAACCTAAGATGACGAACTACGCAAAGAAAAGGAAAACGAGAAGGATAAATAAGCCCACAATCAGATAAGTAACATGAAACATTACTTCTTTCAACAACAAAGACCAAGAGATAATAGAAGAACTGATAAATAAAAACATAGATATTTGTGCAATTCAAGGAACTAAGCGACCATCACGAGCAAGACCATCGAGTACAATAAACCAACATATCTATGTTTTGCACCAAAATGAATGAAAACATCTTAATACCCACTACGACATCAAATTGGAATTGATGGGAAAATAATAAAGCAGGAAGCAAGGTTTAGATATCTGGGAAATCGATCTCTTCTCAAAGGAGAAGATAGTACGAATAGCATGAGATGTCACCAGATGTACGAAGGAGTATTGGCAGACCAAGAAAAAGATGGTGCGATAATTTAAACAATTTAGGCGACTAATGTTGAAGAAGAAACATGCTTTAAAGCCTACATACAAGAAGGAAGAAGAAGAAGACGAAGAAGATACTTTTTAGGATAGCACTGATGATAGAATAGTAATTCCTAAAACATTTGACCCATTGTCGATTGTCTTCTTTCTTTTGTTTTATTTTCTTGGATTGGTGTTTGTTGTCCTGTTATAGGCCTTCTGCCTCTTCAGGACGTGGTTTGTTTTGGTTGGTGTGTTGGCTGTTTCGTTTTGTTGTGGTCCACTGGTGGTCGTCGTCGGTACAGCTCCTGGACAATCAGGGAAAAAGGGTGTTTGTAAACGATTCTTTTCAGAAGTTATTGATCTAAAAATAATTGAAATTAGTAAATGTATTCAATATTGATATGTTATGATAGTAGTAACTTGTGTGATGTCCCATGTGCAATGGACAGTAAACCACAGAAAACCGTTTCCCCCTGTCTAAGCAAGCTCGAAGTGAGCAATTTAAGATTAGTGATCCGAAAACATTCTGTGAAATGGTGCTGAAAAAAAGTTTAGAGTTTTAAAAGAACCTCATTAACCTGACCTAGGAGCAAGCGTCAAATTGGGTGCTCTGATGCTTAATATATAGCAAATATACTTTTATTGGTTAATTATTGTGTGTTGTCAGCAGTTGCGATAATATTTTTTATCAGATTTAGATCTTTCGACTTTCTTTCGTCATTGTTGTGAGGTTCATGGTCCGGCAAATAAAAAATTCAAATGTTTTTCTTCCTTTTTTCCTCTACGAGATTTCGTCAATGACAGCCATTTTCAGATAAGACAGTCTTTCGTACTATTTAATTTAAATTGACAAATTTCATGTCTTATAGTTTAAGCTTATCTGTAATATCGATGATAATGTAAAAATTTTACTTAAACATCAATATGTTTTTTTAGAGTACACCACTGGTGAAACCTTTCATGCTAGAAAACTTTTTTGCTAATAAACGTAATAGTTTTCTGATTTGCAAAAAAATACTAAATTAATGAGCTTTATCTAAAACATATTCCATTATGATTATTTGTTAAGTACTGTTGTTGATTGGTGGTTAATTAATTCATGTATATTCATTACTTATAATTAATGAAAAATATTGTTTACAAACAAAACTGTGGGTTATATTGGTTTGAAGAATAACCAAACCAGAGGTATAAAAAGTAATTAGACGAGAAGAATATTTATCTTCATGCAAAAAATTAGATGGAAAAAACTTTTGGATTGAATATCATTATCTTTGTGGTATGGCTTTCTCGCTTATCTAATAATAATTTTTACGTCGCGTAAATTATTATTAATCACTTCACACAAATACTTTTCGTCTAATTATAAGACATTAGATTTTCTAAAACATATCTTCGATACTAATTCGTGTCTAGACAATACATTTTTTAAGTAACACAAAAAATAACTCCCTTCTTCTATTTTTATGTAGACATGACATGTTCGTTTTTCAATGTACCTCTGGTATGTTACTTCCTACATTACATTCTACTCTTCCATTTCTTACCACGTCCATGATGTTCTCCACCTTGCATCTACATCGTATATCTGTACTTCTAGCTACGAAGAATATCTTGAAACCGGTGAAAGTGACATTGCGGACGAACTTCTCCTGAGCCTTGATGTAGCAAGAAGGAAGAAATGGACAAATGTAGTCGAATCGTTAGATTTCAAAAAGTCTAGCCGTAAAGCGTGGTCGCTCCTAAGAAAACTCGGAAGGGACAAACTGGCAACACGACAAATCCACGACTTCAATCCTAATAAAATTGCATCACATATAGTTGCCACCTCCAGAGGAGCATGTGATAAAAAGTTTACCACTACTATAAATAGGGAGCTTAAACATTTAAAAGCTGCCTGTCCATCAGATACAGAGTACTCCGCACCGTTCACTCCAGAAGATGTCCCAAACGCCATCAAAGACATTAAACCTAACAAAGCCCTGGTACAGACAGTATACCTCCCGAATTCCTGATCCATTGTGGGAAATCTGCAAAAACCTGGTTGTCTAAATCTATACAGATATACTCAAAACAGGTAACCTACCAAACCTCTTTAAACAAACAAAAATCATAGCCATCCTGAAACCTGGAAAACCAACAGACAACCCAGCGAGTTACCGCCCCATCGCTTTACTCAGTTCAGCTTACAAGCTCCTCGAAAGACTGGTCCTGAATAGAATCGGCCCAAAGCTACTTCAGAAAATACCAATTGAACAAGCAGGATTCAGGCCTCAACGAAGCACCACAGACCAAGTGCTCTCTATAACTACCTACATAGAGGCAGGTTACCAAAGAAAACTGAAGACGTCTGTGGCATTCATCGATTTATCGGCTGCCTATGACACGGTTTGGAAAGATGGCCTCATCTATAAGCTCCTTAAAATAATCCCCTGCAAAACAACCGCCCGACTCATAAATACTATGCTGAGCAGTAGAAACATCCGTGTAACCATGGGAACTACAGTGAGCAAACAGAGAACGCTTAATAATGGCCTCCTCCAGGGCTCCGTACTTGCACCGCTGCTATTTAGTATATATATAGCTGATATGCCCCCTACCAGATCTAAAAAATTTGGATATGCAGACGATTGGGCACTTGCAACTCAAAGCTCCTTAATACAAAACTCCGAGGCAATCCTAACGAAAGATCTGGAACGCCTGGTTAAGTACTTTAAAACAATGGAGACCTAAACCTAACCAAAAAAAAAACCGAGGTTAGCTGTTTTCACCTGAACAACAAAATGGCCCACACAAAACTTAAAGTATACATTGATAACCAACTGCTCACGCACAACTATAATCCCAAGTACCTCGCGTCACCCTGGACAGAACACTCTCCTTTAAGAAACATCTTGAGAACACCGCAGCAAAGCTGAGAACCCGTAACAACATCATACAGAAGCTTTGCGGGACTACATGGGGCTCATCAGCAGGTACACTTCGGTGTTCAGCCCTTGGACTCGTATACTCCGCAGCTGAATACTGCTCTCCTGTTTGGC